TATCAGTTGTTATGGCTTTTTGTCACCCACCGTTCCTGACCCCATTTCACCCCCTATATCACCTGCTGGAACCAACGCTGACTCTGCGACCCACGGTATGGAAACAGTGGCCTTATCTTTCTGACGCCCCTTATCCAATCTTATCAGATGCTGGCAGTTTTTGTCACCAACCTAGTGTTCCTTTCCTAAACCCTACATCGTATCTTGGAACCAACCTCCTACTGTTGCTGTGACTCGCGTGATGGACTCAGTGACCATACCCTTCTAACATCTCCTCGAATCTTATCAGCAGCTGACAGTTCTTGTCATCCACCAATAATGTTCCTGTCCCATACCCTACATCATATGTTGGAATCAACACCTGGCTGATGCTGTGACCCGCATTACGAATATGGTGAGAGTCCCCTTCTGAGGCCTCTTATCAGATATTATCAACTGATATCAACTTCACTCCTATCACCCACCAATAGTGTTCCCGTCACACCCTCTACGTCACTTCTTGGAGCTGCTAGTGGGAGCGGCGCTATGAATTTCGTGTCAAAGAGACAGACGCACACGCACGGACATAGCCGATTATATATGGTAGAATTGTAACCGTTGTCCCAATGTAGCGCTGAAATCTATCCTTTTGTCCATTCTTTTCTCGGAGTTAGTACCAAAAATCTCCATAACCCTCACACGAAAATTCAGCAACCTGTTAGAGCAGCCTTTGAAGCATCCTACCGCTTGCGTTCTCCACTACTGTAGGTTTCTTTTTCTGGAATGCACTCCCGCATTCGGGCAGTTTAACGCTTCGAATGGTCCTCTCTCAGGTTGTTGATGAAAGATAGTCATAGTGATAGTGATAAAGCCAGTTGCTGCTGTTCATGGCAACTGAGTAAACAACCGTCATGCATCTGAACTCCGGTTGCTTTAGCGGCCGTACATGATGTCGATAGCGGTAAGAGCATAAGAGTGAGTTGTGTGTTGGATCATGATGACGCTTTCAACCCTTATCAGTTGCTGTCACTTAGTGTCACTCGTCAGTGGGTTTCCGCCCCCTCCCCCTATACCACTTCTTTGAACCAAGGTCCCACAGACCCTGCAACCTGCCCTACAAAGTTGGTGACCCTCCGCATCTAAGGCCCCTTATCGAATCTTATCAGATGTTATCAGCTTCTGTCACCCACCAAAATGTTCCCGTCCTGCCGTGTATATCACTTCTTGAAATCACGGTCCCGCAGCTGCTGCAACTTGCGCTACGATTTCGGTCACCCTCCCCTTCTAAGGCCCCTTATCGAATCTTATCACCTCCTGTCACCCACCAAAAGTGTTCCCGTCCTGCCATGTATATCACTTCTTGAAATCACGGTCCCGCAGCTGCTGCAACTTGCGCTACGGTCACCCTCCCTTCTAAGGCCCCTTATCGATCTTATCAACTGATATCACTTCCTGTCACCCACCAATAGTGTTCCCGTCACACCGCCTACATCTTGAAATCAATGTCTCACTGCTACTGGGACCGGCGCTATGAATTTCGTGACACACAGACAGACGCACACACAAACATACACACACACACACACACACATACACACTTACAGACATACTCAGCGGATTATATAGTGTAGGATTCTTAACATGCGAAGAGTGTGCTTCAATTTTATTGCTATGGAATGCCTTTTCAGAAATTCGAAGCTCCAATTGCTGATAAGTTCTCGTTTCCCTCTGGACACACCTCTAGAGCAGCAATGCTCGCTACTTTATGGTTCGTTTTACTGTTAGTGCAGTGGTTAGGCCGCTGCGGCACTGAGAATACGGAGAAACTGTGAAAAAGAGTGGATACCATTGTCGCAGTCAATCGTGGCGGTCTCAGGAGGGACGGAAGGGTAAGAAATATATTGATTGATCACCGGCTCTACAGATCAATGCGTATGCCTCTTTTCGGGGATTCTCCGATTCTGCAGTGTCGAACCTTTCAACGTGGTGGTCCTGTTCATGTCTTGTTTGCTGGGCCTTTCGGGGGGGGGGGGAGGCGCGCAGTGCCTGCCTGGCTTCCACAATATGGTGCTAGGCCTCAGCCCTTCCCCTCTGCCGAAGCCTCGAGACCCATAGCGAAGAAAGCTATAGCTCTGCCAAGCAGCGTTGGTATAGCCATTTGTGCATTTTAAAAAGACTACTCGATAATTAAGAAATTTCAGCAGTGCATTCTTTCCCAAATATCGATTCGCTGCTATGCTAATGGCGTTGGTGGTAGCAACGAGTCGTGTGGCGATGGGACGTCATTATTTAAGCGATGCACTCGGAGGTTAGCATTGAACCGTTAAAGACAGTTGGCACGATAAATCGCTATACAGGTGTAGAATTTGTACGACTGGCTTAACAGAATTCCGTGACCTCGAACAGTCGCGCTGGTGAAAAACCTTTTCAAGGAGGGTACCTCTATAACGCCCTATTGAGCAACAACTTTACGTCCCAAACGCCTTCCTTGCCCGCCCGCCCACAAACGGACGACCGTTTCTGACGCTCGTATTCATTCATTTGCTGAGCAAATTATGAAGCAAAGGGATTGGTATGAAGCGGCGGTGATGCTGCATGCATGGGTACACATATGCAGCCGTATCTTCGGTAGCGGTGATTGGCAAGATGCGTACGGGAAACTCGTCCGAAATCGATTTACAAGTCTTTTTCTTCGCCGGATTTTGACCGTTTCACTCCGTTCTTTCGCCATTTCCCCACTATATAGCTCCCTACTAGCATTTTAGGCGAAGTAGGAAACCATCGTGCCAACTGCCTTTAATCTGGTTCTGTTGGAACCATCGGGAATTGATTTGACACTATTCCTATCCCAGTCTTCCGAAATCAGGCCGATCTTTACCGACTTTTTTCTACGCGGGCTGATTTGGCTGAAAATTTGCCTTCTGGGATGGTTCGACCTTCTGAACACGAATATCACATCAGCTCAGCCCGAAACTGCCTGGCGCTACCGGCGATGAAACACCCTAGATCACCAAAGTCGATAAAATTTGTACACGGGCGTTATTTGACTTCCCAATTGCGATATGACATTTACTCCTGGCACCGGCGCTAACGTAGGACACTATGATCACATGCGCTCTGCTGAGGCTGAGCCTAGGCCTGAAGGGAATCACTCCTTCCAGGTTCGGCCTTAGCAGAAGGCTAAATGGCGCTGGTGTCGAGAAATGAAATGCCATATTCGTGATCAGGGCATCAAACAACCCTCTTACGCAATTTTTTATCAATTTTGGGGAAACGGTGTGGCGCCAGCGTTGAAAGTAAATGCCATATCCGTGATCAGGATTTCAGTTAGCCCCCGTATAGAAGTTCCCATCAAATTTGATGAGGAAAATAGTGGCGTCATGTTGCCGCCTAATTTCTCCGAAGAGCGCCAGTGCCAAAAATGAATGTCATATTCGTGATCAGGTCAGGACATTGTATGACATCTATAGGCAGAGTTGCAGCGAAAATTTTTTTGAGTTTTTGCCGTAGGAAAACGTAGTTCAATAGTGCCATTGATTTACTGCGTTTTCCCCACCGACTCGAAAATCGCCACGTTTCCAGCCATCGAAGTAGGCACGCCCTCTTCAGCGTTGCGATAAGGGCTGTAGGGGGGGGGACGCAATGTACCGATGCCCTCTGTACAACCATGTTCTGCCAAGGCCTCCCGGCTGTAAAAGTCCTACTGAGCTTTTCGCCCCGTACAGCGCGTTTTCTGGGTGATACAGTCAGTATCCTCGAAAATGGAAGGGAGTGTGAGAGGGCGTGGATCGGAGGCTGCAGCCTGGACGGCCTTTTCTACCAATTGTGCCGTCCTGGTAGAAGCGGCTGTCCTGGCTGCGCGCAAGTTGAGGCATGTCATGCCGTTGGGTAGAACTCTTGCAGAATACGCCTTTCTCGAAATTTCCTTCTCTGGCGTGACCTCCCCCCTCCCCGCCCCTTTCCTATCCGCCATCTTGCTAGGTCCTCTCAACTACCCACAAATTTTGTAGTTTCTTCTAAACTGCCATCGAGCAGAAGGTACATAATGCGGGTTAAATGAGAAAAAGACTAATGTCAGCAACCAGAAACATTTTTACTCACCACCAGACACTTAGTACTCCCATTCGCCATTCCTCGCGTTCAACTAGGGCCCTCCTGTTGTGATTTCCACACCGATGGCGTGCCGTGGTGCAGCCCAATTGGCGGTCCCTCATGCACCCTCCTGTTTCAACTGATGATGACTGCACGCGCTGACTCGAGCATCCGCAAACCCCACTAGGTACTTCTCTTTCTTCTCTTCTTCTTCCTAGCGTACTTGTCCAACGTTTGTCGGGTACGCTTTTTTCACCAAGGCTTTCCAATGATCCCTGTTCCAGACGTCGGCTGCGGACAGACCAGCAGCATTCATGTCCCTCTTCAGGTTGTCTATCCATCGCAGTCTGGCTATTTGGACGTTTGCCGGCGAAAACGATCCTGTCAGCAGACTTGCATATGGCCTCAGGAGGTCTTCGTTGAACATGACCATACCAGCGCAGACGAGATGCGGCAAGGGAGTTGGCAATTGGCTGGACTTCAATCCTACCACGAATGGAAATGGTTTCATTTCGAATTGTTTCGAGCAGTTTGTGGACTTGGACTTCAAGTGAACTGGCATTCTCTAAACGTAAAGAACGCCAGTAATAGTCCTCCACTTGTTCCATTCCGCGTTTGATGTTGTATCGGCATTGGCATCTTTATCCACGTAGACCCGAGGTAAGGTAACTTTGTAGTCATGGTCGGAGGCGTGCCGTCGATCACAATTGGAGAGGTCACTGGGGCAGCGCACATGTACTCGGTTTTGTTGATGTTCAGTTTGAGTCCATGTGCAGCGAGTTCCTTCTTCCATCGGTTGGCGCGCCTTTCCAACTTGTTCTTGGACCGATCCATCAGCAGCACGTCATCAGCATATCCTAGCGTCAAAGGTGGCTCTTTCTCAAGTTTTCTTGTCGGTCCGGACATAGAATAAACAGCAGCGGCGAAAGGCTCGAACCTTGGTGTACGCCCACGGTACTTGGGAATTGTGGCGTCTCCTACAGGCGTCCGGATACATGTTGTGGAATGGCGGTAGGTCAGCTGAACGGCATTTACCAGCGCTTCTGGAACTTGCTGATGTCGAAGGGCTTCCCAAATTAGTTGACGGGGCACCCGGTCGTAGGCTTTCTCCAAGTCTAAGAAAGCCAGGTGAAGTGGCTTATTCCACTCTCGGGCCTTTTCCATCATGCGACGAGCAACGTGGATAGCGTCGGTGGTACTGTGCTCTGGTCGGAATCCGCACTGCATCTCACTGATATCCACTATTTTCCTGAGTCTGGCTTCCAGCACTCGTTCGAATATCTTCAGAGTATGGCACATCAGACGAATAGGTCGATAGTTGGAGCAGTGGGCGATGTCTCCTTTCTTCTTGTATATTGGCACCGTGACACTTTTCATCCAGTCTGTTGGGATTTCCCTTCCTCTATACACTTATTGAAGAGCTGTGTGAGATATGAGCGCCCTCCAAAATGCTTCCAGACTTCCGCTGGAATGTCGTCTGGTCCAGTAGCTTTCCCGTTTCTCATCTTCCTGATGGCCACTTCGATTTCGCCCTGGTGATCCGAGAATTGGGTCCGAATGTGGGATTCCACGTTGCAAATTTCCTGGTATTCTGTTGCTCTGAAGTGGCTCCCGGCAAGGCGCTGAATCTGCTTTTCACCTTCCTTGGTGTCCAGTTTCGCGACCAGTGAGTCTGCCTCGCTTCTTGATGGCACTAGCGATTGTCTGCCTGGCTTTTCTCTTAGCCTCGCAATAATTCGCTCTGGTCTCATTCGTTGGGTTGAGATGCCATGCTTTGAACGCATTTTTCTTGGCTTTCACCGCATCTGCTACGTCATCATTCCAGAACCAAGCGGGTCGATCTGTTTGAACTGCTTTTTGAAGCCGATGACTCGCGCGGTATCTCGGATTTCCTTCGTTAGCTTCTTCCAGTCCTGCTCGATGTCCTTGGCGTAGCTTGGTGAATCAGCGTCGATAAATGGTCTCTCTCCAGTTGGCCCTAGGTGCGCAATCCTATTCCATCTGAGAAGCTTTCTGTTAATCCTCGGGGCTTGAAGGCAGGCGAGTTTGTTGGCATCCTGATAACGGCGATTACGGGACGGTGCTGACTGTTGATTGTTACCGATGGTATACCTTATCTTGTATACCTTGCAGTCTATCACATCGCTCCGTTGGTTTCTTCGTGTCAGAATGTAGTCGATCTGAGTTTTCCGTTCTCCACTGTAGTAGTGACCAGGTGGGACTCTCTTCTGAAATAGTTAGCGATGATCAGAACCAGTGACTTGGCATATTCCAACACTCGCAAACCATCTTCATTTCTTGTGCCGTAGGGAATCGTCCTTGGATGTCTTCGAACAGGTCATTGCTCGCGCCGATGTGCCCATTGGAGTCCCCACAACATAAAGGTCTTCGAAGACTGGGCACTTAGATGTTACGCCAGCTATTGAACTTTTGTGACACTGCGATGGCCACACCGTTAACCTTGGTTGTTGTCCGTTGTAATAAACGTTATATCCTCCAATCCTCTTCGTCTTAGCGCCAGCCCATTTCGTTTCCTGTATCGCGCAGATGTCGATGTTCCTTACCTTCAGTATTTCTATTAGTTCGGCAGAGCGGCCGGTCAGGGTGCCGATGTTAATCGTGGCAATCCTGATGGTCTTGTATTTGTCCTTTACGGAGGACTTCCTAGCTTGCATGTCCATTACGGTGGACGTCCTAGTTTGGCCCATTACGGTGGGCAACCTAGCTCTGATCGGGGTACTTGCAAAGTCCATTGATCACGTTTGTGTAGAATTTAAACCTCCTGAGTGAAGTTCTGCAATTCTTCTATCCTCTGGAGGCACCCTCCGCGTTAGCTGGCCGAAGCCACCACCCCATGCCACGTTGAGGCCGCGGATAGGATTTGTGGGGGCACTGGGCACTTCTCAAATAGCTGAAAATATCCCATTAAAAGTGTTTAGAGTGAAGGTCGAATGCCTAACATGTCGTATATAACATAATTTACTTTTCGCGAATCGAAGTTGAAAAGTCGCTCTTGTGCTTCTGAAAGTACCACTTCATGGACAGGGAGGGGATACTGAAAAATCGGAAAGGCATTCTAAAGTTTCCCTCATCTCGTAGCTGTAAACCTCTCCACATTGAAAGAAAACGTCTTTACTTTTCTCTATAAGAATCCTTTCTTTTGTATGAAAGACTAATCTATTTCAGGCCTTCTAATTGGATGGCTTGAAGGATTAGCCGTGCTCGCTTTACCACGTGGTTTTGCTACCTGGATTCGGCAAATTCTTCACTGATACTGCTCGAAGCGGAATCTCACCCGAGAACATCTGCAAGAAGTTGATCTACAGTTTCGTTGGTGGCGGAAGACGAAAAGTGAACTAGCGCTCCACTAGAGACTATTCTTCTTTCTGCTCTCATAACACGTTTCGGGTCAAGTGTAGGTGCGATCAAAATAGCCCTTCTATAATGTTAGATGGTCGTTTTTTTCTTGACGAACTTTCAACCGTGTTTTGATGACTGTACACTAACCTTCGAAGGCATAAGGCATGATAAACTAATTATATTTTTTTCTTCTTCAGCTTTTGTCCCACTTTATAGAGTGGTACACTTCTGATTTGGTGACACCATTTCCTTCCTGCTGAATGCCTGATGTGGATGGGTGCTAACTATTTTCAAACTAGCGTGCAGCGTCGTGCCAGGCCTAATAGTGCCAGGTTGAAACGTCACTTGCCTGAGCCAGATGTGTGAAGTTATTCACCACGGGGAGCCTTCCAGAGCGGACTAACAAGACCCTACATGTCAGGAGTACCACCTCCTCTCAGAAAGGTCGCCCCAACCATCAGTAAGACACATCGATACTCATACACTTATCGCTATATTTTATCGCTATCGAGCACTGAGATTGGGCGGTTGCTGGCGTGATGCCAACGGAAATGTCCGAAATAGCTTTGTGGCCGCTGTGTACTCGTCCACCGTTCTGCAGAGAGAGAGGGGGCCCCTTGCAGGTTATTTAGTACCCTTGCTACCACTTTACACTTTAGCGAATTATCGTGCCTTATGCCTTTGCCTGCATCTGTGCTCATTGGGATTGTAAGGATTACCACTTTGAAGTACTTTTGTAACTGTGAAACTAACTGATGACATTTAGAAGGCGCTGGAGTTTTTGATATAGCAGGGTGCTATTAGGTGCGTCGCGCGCCTTCATAAAGTGACATGTACACATGGTTGAGCAGTGCTCCCATGGCAGTAGCAGCTGGTTTGCAGCGCTATTATGCTTCAATTAGAGCGTACCATTCACGGATGTGGAGTGTTACGTCCGCGTTGCGGGCGGGGTGACGTGCGTTGCATTCGCACCGGGACCCAACCTGCTCAAGGTGGCAGTGTCGCGGCATGTCGACTCTTGTGACTCTCTCTGCGTCTCTCGATTCAACAAGTTCTTTTCGTGTCCGTGTCCAGTTTACTAGCTAACCTAAGAAATATGTATTGTGCTGGTGCGCGCGATACGCAACTCGTAAGTAACGTCCCACGCAATCATTTTACACTTTGTAGATAGATAAATAACTAATTATGTCAACCTGAAATAAATACGTCGTTATATGTAGCAGTGTTATATGCAGCGGTGCGGGAGTTGTTTGAAGTTCTCCTGGCAGTTCTTCTCATGATACTACTCTCTTTCACACTCACGAATAAAAAATAAACGATTGAATGGATGTAGGAATAAAGAAACGAATAACGGAATAAGGAACTCCCTGAAGAAATAGTAAGTCATGAGCACTATTAGGGAGCGGGAACTAATGCATCAAAACGTCTTGGACGAGCTATCTAGGATTGAAATCATTGGTAAAAGAGGCTAAGATTGTTGAGAGCGGAGCACACACGAGCCACGTTGTGTGACGTTACCTAACACTGAGCTGAGCCGGGAAGGTGTCACTATGTCGGCGAGAGGACGCAGACGACCAGGTTCAGTTGCCAGGTGTGGCGCTCCACACCCAAAATAAAAAGGAAGTGGTCACGTT